TGTTCAGGTGTCTTAAATCTGCCTTATATACTAATTTATCACTAATTTTTTGCACAATTATGAAAATGACATAAGACAAACCCTACCTTTTATCTTACATGAAAATCTTATGAAGCAAAATGAAATTCTATTTTCATTTTGCTACTGAAAAAACATTCTGCCTAAGAATTTAATTATTTTGCTTTTTAAAGTTTTTAAATGACTTCTGCTTAAACTGAAAAGTAAAATTAAAGAATTACCTTCTTCAGCTTTGCTTCTATCTTTATCATTATATTAGTACAATCAGAATATGAAATGCATTTATTTGTAGTAGAGTTCCAGTGAACATTAGAATTAGATTTTCTATAGCTTTCAAAAGATGAAGATTTCCTATGTCAAGTAATACTGGGATTGGGAACAGCCCCTGGCACTTGGGAGGCCGAGGTAGGAGATTGTGAGTTTAAAGCCAGCTATATAGGGAGTTTGAGGTCAACCTGGGCAGTATAGTGAGATCCTATCTCAAAAACAAACAAACAAAACCCCAAAAAGATTGGAAAGAGTAATTTGTATCTGGTTTTGAGTTTGATCCCACAATTGACACAAAGACACATTAAGACCCAGCATTGGTTTCTTCCTTTCTTAGAATAGCTGGTTAGCTTCCACTTATAACAACTTTTTCCACCAAGGGCAAATTTTGTGGTATAAAATTTTATTTCTTTAGTTAAGTACAGATGAACCTGAACTATAATTTCCTGAGTATGAACTTTGGCATTCTTCTGTGTTTGACCTGTATGGAAATTGCTTTTGTAGTAAAACTTGATTTATTCAGTTTTATTTTTTGCTTTTTATTTATTTTTCTTTGGGACAGGCTAGCTTTGAACTACAGTGCTCCTGCCTCAGCCTATTGCTGGGATTACTGGTTTATGCCATCACACTCTGCAGGAGTAATTTATTCTTTTGAAGGAATGTACTGTTAATATATACGTTTAAGAAGTGCTTCTTGTTACATTAAGACCTTTTTCAGAACTATGCATGGTAGTGCATGCAAGCCACTAATACCAAAAGTGAACATTAACTCAAAAAATTGAGCCAGTATTTGAAGCAAGGTGTTTCTTGGTACACTGGAGTCCCAGAATTATTCCTGCTATGTGATTAAGTAGTTTTTTTTTTTGTTTGTTTGTTTCTGAGACAGATTCTTGCTATGTTGCCCAGGCTGGCCTTAAACTCCTTGGCTCAAATGGTCTCCCTGTCTTGACCTCTCAAATAACTGGAACTACAGGTATACACCTCTAGGCCCAGCTTTAAGTGTTTTTGAGACTAAGAAAAATATTGCTGGAGATCCTAATGAAATTACTTAAAATTTTGCAGTTGGATATTTTCCCTGGAGTGTATGCTATCTACAAAGGTCCTTGCTGCTTTCAGGTAGCCTTGTTGAAGAATGGCATGATTCTGATGAGTGCCAAATCAGGTGGCTTGAAGGATTCTCAGCCTCATCTTTTCTGTGAGAAAGCTTTTGTTCAGGAAATGTTGCCTGTTCTCAGTTGAGAGGGGAGAGTTGGATTAGGAGTTACTATGAAATATTCAGCATTGGTGACTAGTTTTTAAAAGAATTAAGAAAGATACTTCTAAAACACTATATCCCAATTCAGTGATTCTGTGATGATGCAGGATTCCAGAGTGCTTCATGTTCTTGTTTAAAGCACTCATGTAAATAGTTTGGGTAGTTGTCATGTAATCCTAGAATTAAAGTAGAAAAAAAATCAAACATTATTAGAAATTCAAGGTGATAGATTAACAGTTGTAGAAAAATTATAAAGCAAAATAGACATAGAAAAATACATGCTATATTAAAAGTAAGAGAAAATGCCAAAAAGTCAACTAAAGTAACAGATTAAAGCATAGTTTATAGAAGTCTGTAAGAACATCATCTAACTCTTGATTAGATGCTCAAAGGACATGTGAGGAGTAATAACTGCTAGTAAGTAAATATGGAATGAAAAATTGGATCAAACCCCAGTACTGCTAAAGAAAAGAAAATTTTGAACTGAGAAATGCCAATTAAGTCGGTGTGATAACTAGCGTATTAAGTTGGCATGATCCAATTTTGAAGTACATATGAAACAACAAAAAAAAACTGTTTATGGTATTTTACTGTGTAATCCTGTAATTGAAAACTTTCCAAAAAGAAGTAACTCAAATAGACAATACTAGATTTACAGATTTGTTCAAGAGAATATCGTAGTATTAAATGACCACTAAAATGATGTATAAACTTTTTAGTGAATACAAAATTTTAGTACAGTTTAATGTTTGTTATTTTTTATACAAAGGATTTTGACACAGGTTTTTTGTTTGTTTCTTTGGGTTTTTTTGTTTTGTTTTGTTTTTTTGGTGGTAATGGGGCTCTTGAATTTAGGTCATTCTGTGTGTTTTTATGTTTGTTTAACTTAAAACAAAAATTCGAACTGGGTGCCAGAACACAGAAAAAGAAATTTCATACTTTTTTTGTGCTCAAGTCAAATGCTTTACTATCCTCCCAATTTTCCCACCAAGATAAAGAATTAAGGCTGGGTGCTAGTGGCTCATGCCTGAAATCCTAGCTACTTGGGAGGCTGAGATCTGGAGAACCATGGTTTGAGGCCAGCTCAGGCAAGAGACACATCTCCCAAATAACCAGTGCTAAATGATCTAGAGATATGACTAGGATTACAGTGTGAGCCACTGGTGCCTGGCTGAAGTTTAGTTTCTGATAGAATTAAATGTGAAAATTCATTATGGCAAGGTATGCATGGCATGTGACCATCTATATTCTTCTACCATGGTTTTTTTAAAAACTTGTGAATAACCTTAAATTTTCTTTAAGGTAGAATTTATCGTTGTATTCATAGTTATTTTTGTCATTTTGGGTGGTAAAAACACATGATGTTAATGTCAGACTTAGTGGTGGAATATGCCTAGTGAGGTATGATTTTTAGTAATGATAAATCTGGGGAGGTTGAAATTATCAAGAGAAACTTTTCAAAATAAAATAGAACTTAAACATAGTTTTCATGTATTTTTTAATAAATACCACTTTTTGAAGCAGTATACATTTTTTCTAAACTTGGTAAAATGTTAGGTCAAATTCATAATTATTTGGGGGTAACTTGAGTTTTTCCAGGCATTTTTGGTGAATGTATGGAAATACCCCCTCCCCTCAAAAAAAATGTTTGGAGTATAGAGAACAGTGGTTCTCAAACTTGCCTGTACCTAGGAAAGCACTGTAGGTATAGGAAGGACTTAAAACTTACTGATATTTATGGGCTGGCAGAGTGGCTCAAGTGATAGAGCACCCGTCTAGCAAGCATGAGGCCTCTGGATTCAAACTCCAGTACCGAAAAAAGGAAAAAAAAAAACAAAAAAAACTTGTATTCCATTCCCAAAGATTCTAACTTAATTGGGAGAGGAGAGCATGAGTATTGAGATTTTTAATGTATAACTATCGTTGCAAGTCATTGCTTACTTGTCATCCTTGGTTGTTGCACAAAATGCAATGAGAGGGCTTAGAAATGTAGCTCAGTGATAGAACACTTTAGCAGGTGAGTGAACCTGGATTCAGTCTCCTGTACTGCAAAAGAAAAATAGTAATGAGCAGTCGACTCATCAGCAACATTTTCTCTTATGATAGTTTGTTGTGGTACTTGGTTAAAGTCTTCCCAATTAGCTTCTCCTTTTCCTTCAAGAGACTTAATACAGTCTGGGCACTTTTGCTCAGTTACTTGTTTGTAACTTGTTTAACTTGTAAACTGTATCTCCAGTGGCTAGCACAGGGTTTGGCACATAGTAGTCATTCATACAGTTGAGCAAAAAATTGTTCCCCAGTGTACTTTACATTTCCTAGCATATAAAAAGTGATCAGTAAATGATAAGGTTTCTACTTTTATCTTTAAAAGTAATGTTTGAATTTTGAATCTGTGGGAGAATGAGCATGCTGCATAAAAAGCATTTACATTGACTAGTCCAGTTGTACAAAACAAGAAGTTTGTGTTTTGGTGTAAAGAGTATACAGAAAAACATCAAAGTAACAGACAAAATTTTAATGTCTTCCAAAAACTTAAAAAGGGACTGGAGGGGTGGCTCAAGTGGTAGAGTGCCTGCTTTGCAAGCGCAAGGCCCTGAGTTCAAAACTTTGGTCCTACCCCCAAAAAAGAGGCAGGATCAAGAAACCTCTTATAGCCTGGTAACTTGAAATGCTAGCATTATAGTTAGAACTCTAAAACTGAGGAAATAGGAACCTGTATTTCTTCATCCATTTTTGTTTATCTTGTGTGGATGCTAATTATCCCCTTAGTACTTGAAATAGAATTGTGTTTTGTGTTTTTTTTTTTTTTGGCAGCACTGGGGGGTTTGAACTGGGCAGGAACTCTTATGGCTTGAGCCACTCCTCCAGCCCTTTTTTTGTGATAGATTCTTTTTTTTTTTTTTTTTTTTTTTTTTGAGATAGGGTCTTGAGAACTATTTCCCTGATCTCTGCCTCCTAAGTAGCTAGGATCATAGGTCCCTAGCTTAATTAGATGGAAATTTGATAGGCTTTTAAAACTCCTAATAGGGCCAGGCACTGGTGGCTCACACTTGTAATCCTAGTTACTCAGAAGGCAGAGATCAGGAGGATTGTAGTTCAAAACCAGCTGGCTCAAATAGTCCAAGGGACCCTATGGAAAAAGCTCATCACTAAAAAGGGCTGGTGGAGTGACTCAAGGTATAGGCCCTGAGTTCAAACCCCAGTACCGCAAAAAAACCTGCTAATATTGGTGATACGGCATTGGGCCTCTCCCTTTGGTGTACATTTTCTCTAGACAACAGAGGGGTGAGATAGCCAGTGTATAGAATCTTACCTATATCTTGTTTTATTTTAAAAAGCTCATAAATGCCTGCAAATCTCATCATATAACAAGTCTGCCCCCTTAATATACATTAAGTGTGAGCAAATGTATCTTTTTAAAATGTTGTTTAAGGACAAATGTTCTGTTTTTGTATTGTAGGCTAAAGAAATCCTGACAAAAGAATCCAACGTTCAAGAGGTTCGATGTCCAGTCACTGTCTGTGGAGATGTGCATGGGCAATTTCATGATCTCATGGAACTGTTTAGAATTGGTGGCAAATCACCAGACACAAATTACTTGTTTATGGGAGATTATGTTGACAGAGGATATTACTCAGTTGAAACAGTTACACTGCTTGTAGCTCTTAAGGTAATTTCAGTTTTATGTTTTGGGCCCTTTGAACTGGTTTAAACAGTCGTCGTGAATGTGTTTTGTGATTTTCTCTATCTGAATGTTAAACTTTAAAACAAAATTCCACACTTAGGAATGCAAATAATTGAAGCTTTAGACTTCTGATCCTGGGTGTCTACATTCTGAGTAAGGTATGGTTTAGAATAAAAAATAAGAGAATACATGAGAGTATTTGAAAAATGTTAGAGGGCTGTTCAGTAGAAATTTTAATTTAGTAAGTTGGTTATGAAGATGTAGTATAATTACATTTATAGATATTTTGAAATGTTATAAAGGTACAAACATCAAATATTGAAATGTTTATGTCCTCTGACAGTAATCTATAATGAGAATTTTACTGAGAAACATTTTCAAGAGGAAAAGAGCATTATTTATGTAAATAAAAGTTACAGCATTATCTTTAATATCAGAAAAAATTGATCTAAATAGCCAACAGTGACAATGGAATAGTTTGCAGCCGCTAAACATAACCTAATAATCTAGAACATTGGAAATGATAATTAAAGCCAGGTGTGGTAGCACATGCCTGTAATACCAGCACTGAGAGGGAGGATAAGGCAGAAGGATAGAGAGTTTGAGGCCACCCTGAGCTACATAGCAGCAAGACCCTGTCTCAAGAAAGGAAAAGAAAAGAAAACTAAAGGAAGCAAATTGCAAACTTTTGTGATCCAGTTGTAGCTTTATAAAATACACAGATGAAGATCTGACAGTGAAACACAAAACGATACTACTTTTTGTGTGAAATGCTTTTGCCTTTCACTTCTAAAAAGTTGTTGTACTTTACTTTTTGGGATGAAGGTATTTTCCCTTTTCCTTATTTTTATCACAGAATATTCAGAATGATAAAATTAATGTCACAGACTTTTCTATTATTAGAGAAGCCGTGTGACATGGTTTCAGCAAGAGCTGAATTTTAGGTGATTAATATCTGAATTGGGTAAAGTGCTGCATCATTATGTTCTGTATTTGTAAAAAGATGGAGTTGGATTAGATGGTGGACAGTTTCTGCTATGATTGTAGATACTGTCAAAGAAGATTACAGCACAGGGTCAGTCCTAGTACACAAGAGGAATGAATGATGCTCCCTTTCAGATTTCATGCAGGAGGGTATGATGGACTAAATTGTGTGCATTTCATATGCTGGCTGGTGGCATGGCATTAGTGGTAGGAAGCATGCCTAGCAAGCATAAGGCCCCAGTATCACCAAGAAACAAATTTCATTTGCTGAAATCCTAACCCCCCACTCCTCAGAATATGACTGTATTTGGAGCTAGGACTTTTACAGAGGTAATTAGGTAAAACGAGGTCATATGGGTAGGCTTTGATTCCAGTATGAGTTGTATCTTTAAAAGAAAAGATTCAGGTACAAACACAGGAGATGTGAGAACACATGGAGAAGACAGGCCTTCTGGCCTTCTGAGGACACCAACTCTCCTGACACCTTGATCTTGTACTTCTGCCTCTAGAACCTTGAAAAATACTTTTCTTTTGTTTAAGCACCCATTCTGTGACACTTTTTTACATTAGCCCTTAAAGTGAATGGTGCTGGAACAAATAGATCAAGATATGGATCATTGGCCTCACTGTAACAGCAGAAGCATGAACTTTTATAATAAACTGTCGGAGAAAATATTTGTGATCTTAGCTCATCAAGATTTCTTAGATATAGTAACAAAAGATCTGTAAAAATTAGGTCATCGGCCTTCATCAAAATTAAGATTTTTTGCTTTGTTTTTCAAAAAAGCATCATAAAGGAAAAATGTATTCAGTTTTTCAAAACAAATTATGTATTTTAATTTTTTAAAAAAGTTTTTTCAGTGCTGGGATTTAAACTCAGGGCCTTATGCATATTAAGTACATGTTCTACCACTAAGCTATATATCCCCCACATTCAAGTTTTTTGAATTTTTACTTTTTTTTTTGGAGGGGTGTCTTGCTATGTAGCCCAGGCTGGCCTCAGCCTCTCAAGTGTTGGGATTACAGGCATAGACCACTATTCCTATCTTTTAAAAAAAAAGACAATAATAAAAGTTTTTTGTTTTTTGTTTAATTTTGGTGTATGGGGGTGTTGAACTTGGCCTTGTGTTTACTGGGCAGGTGCTGTACACTTGAACTACTCCACCAGCCCTTTTTGCAACAGTTATTTTTGAGATAGGGTGGGGGTTTTTTGTTTGCTTGTGAGACTGGGGTTCAGGACTTTGTATTTTCAAAGGAGGTGCTCTACTGCTTGAGCCCCATCTCCAGTCCATTTTGTTCTGGTTACTTTGGAGATGGGGATCTCATGAACTGTTTACCTGGGCTGGTCTTGGACTGTGGTCCTCCCGATCTCAGCCTCCCAAGTAGCTAGGATTATAGATGTGAGCCACTGGTCCCTGGCTTAGGGCTGGCTTGGTCTCTCTTTATACCCTGGCAAGCCTGGATTGCAGTTCTCCTATTTATGCTTCCCGTGTAGCTGGTATGACAGGGTGCATGCCACCACAGCCAGATTTTACTGATTGAGATTAAGTCTGACCTTGAACCTCAGTCCTCCCCATCACCACCTCCCAAGTAGCTAAGATTACAGGCCTGAGCGACTACTGCCCACTCTCTTACCCCTCACCACCTCCTCTACTATACAGATAATTTTTTAATAGTCAAGATACTTAAAAAAATCTTTCACCAAAGAAGGTACATGGTCAGTAAGTACATGAAAAAATGCTTTAGTGTCATTAGCCATTTGGGAAATGCAAATTAAAGTTACAGTGAGCCACTTCACGTTTATTATAATAACCGTATTCAGTAAAACTGATACTAAGTGCTGATGAGTATGTAGAGAAATTAGTGTATCCCCATGCATTGCTGGTCAGTGGGAATGTGAAATGATCCATCTGCTTTGGAAACGTTTGACAGTTTCTCAAAACATTAAACATAAACCTACTGTATGATCTAGCACTTACATTCTTTATAATCTGTCCAAGAGAAATGAAAGCATATGTCCCCACCAAAACTTAGCAAAAGTTATTCATTATAGCCAGAAAAACTGGAAACAACAGTTCATCCTGCTGGGGAATAGAGAAAATGAGACAGTGCGCAGCTATAAAAAGGAATAAACTACTGATCTGTGCTACAACATGGATGAGCCCCAAAAATATTCCAAGTGATACTTGGCACAAAAGATCATTCTTCCATTTATATGAAATTTCTAGAAAAGGCAATCTCAAGACTGAAAGTAAATCATGGTTGCCAGGGAGTGGGAGTGAGGAGTGACTGTAGATAGGCATGAGAGATCCTTTTGAGGTGATGGGAAGGTTCTAAATCTGGCTTGTGATGATTGTTGCATAACTTAAATTTACTAAAAATTATTGATCCTAGAATATTCACTATGAGATTTTATATCCTCTCATAATACTTGGTATAAAGTTGGTGGTAGAGGGAGTTTGGTTTTCATTGAGATGGAGTTGGCAAACACCTCATTGGCACTAATATGTTTGTAAAAATCTGTGGTTTCAATTCATTGTAATGTGGGGGAGTATATGCTTTTTCAACAAAATTGAAGCTCCGGATTTCCCTGTAGAAGGTTTCCTGAATTGTCATTTGACTTTTCAAAGAGCTAGCTGTTTATGTTTCCCATTTTGTTTTAGGTTCGTTACCGTGAACGCATCACCATTCTTCGAGGGAATCATGAGAGCAGACAAATCACACAAGTTTATGGTTTCTATGATGAATGTTTAAGAAAATATGGAAATGCAAATGTTTGGAAATATTTTACAGATCTTTTTGACTATCTTCCTCTCACTGCTTTGGTGGATGGGCAGGTTTGTGCATCTTAAAAACTCATATTGCTTATAATTTTCAGGAATCTGGTTCTTTCCATATTCAAATCCTTGTTGATAGCATTCTTTGTGTGTGTGTGTGTGTGTGTGTGTGTGTGTGTGTGTGTGTGTGTGAGAGAGAGAGAGAGAGAGAGAGAGAGAGACTAGGGTTGAACTCAGGGTCCTTTGCTTGCCACATAAGCACTCTGTCACTTAAACCACCAGTAAATAGCTCCTTAGGTAATCCAGTATTAGCTGCAAGCCCTTTGTTTTTATTTTGTTTTTAAGATAGTGTCTTTTTTTGTTTGTTTGGTTGGGGTTTTTTTTTTTGTCTTGCTTTGTTTTTTTAATAGTGTCTCCCTAACTTTGCCCTGGCTGGCCTCAAACTTACTATCTTCCTGCCTCTGGAGTAGCTGGGATTACAGTCACACACTGCTGTGTCCAGACTGATAGCATTCATTTAAACTTTTTTTTTTTTTAATTCCTTTGTATCAGTTACTGAATTGTATGTCGTGGGTTCATAGGGATGGAAAAATGTATGTTAACCTGTCTAACCTCTGAGGCTGTTTCTGGATGAGTCTAGGATATGTAACAAGCTATTTACTGGTCTGAGTAGGACTATGCACAGAAGAACTTGCAAGAAAATCCTGAGTATGAAGGTAACTATATTAGTGTCTGACAGGGGGCAGGAGTAAGATAAGAGCAACATTTTCTTACAAGAGCTGATTGAGTGCATGCCCTAGCCATGGTGTGTCAGAAAGAAAGAGGGTATTCAGTATTTTTGAGTGGGCTAGAGCAACAGATTCTGCAGAGTCAAACCTTATTAAGACAGAGCAAAGAAACACTGATGGGGCCAAGTGTGAGGATTGCTGCTTACAGCCTAGTCCAAAATATTTATAGTTTCTCACAGGTTAAATTAACATTTAAAACGGTTCTTTTCAGATCTTCTGTCTACATGGGGGCCTCTCGCCATCCATAGATACACTGGATCACATAAGAGCACTTGATCGCCTACAAGAAGTTCCCCATGAGGTATGACTGCTTTTGGTAGTAAATTCTTCTCAAGAAATATTTTAGGAAGAAAATTTAATTGTAACTTGGTTCATTGTATGTTTTGTTTCATTTAATTCTCAGAAACAACTCCACGATGTGTAAGCACTCTTGTCAAACCCTTGTTCAGAAGAAGCATAGAAACCTTCCAGTGTCACCTTAGCTGTGGGCCTGGGTTTATTAGAATCTGCATTTTCTATCTGAAAAACCTCTGTTTTAGCCACTAGCCCACACTGCCATTTGTGTACTTCAGGCAGATTTTAGCCCATGTTGCTATTGGGACTTATGCATTGATGTCACTGTGCCTCATAGAGACTTCTGGAAAATAGTCTCATTTGACAGACATTTTACTATAAAATCTGTAACTGTTTTCAGCAAATACCAGTCGGGTAGTGACTTAGAAGAATGTCACTAATGGTGAATTACTCAGGTCATGAATTTACCATTTTTGTAAAAGGCAGTTTATAACTTGTTTTTTAGGGTCCAATGTGTGACTTACTGTGGTCAGATCCGGATGATCGTGGTGGTTGGGGTATATCTCCTCGAGGAGCTGGTTACACCTTCGGACAAGATATTTCTGAGACATTTAATCATGCCAATGGCCTCACATTGGTGTCCAGAGCTCATCAGCTGGTGATGGAGGTATGTTCTATTCTTTGAAACCATTTTTTTTTTTTTTTTAGTAACTAAAGGAAAAGGAATTGTATATTGATCCTGTAAGACTCTCTGTGTATTCCTTCTTGGTGAGTTTGCCATTAAAGCCTGAGCCTTTTCAGCAGATGCATGCTAGAATTAAAATGAAGTTTTTGATAATGAAATATACACATTTAATATGCTTTCAGAGAATACTTAATGACTGGGAAGGTCTTAGGATTTAAGGGTGGGGAAATAAAATGTAGGGAAATGGGGAGAGATAGAACAGATCCCTGGGAGGCAACATGAAAATGTTCAAGTGGTCCTTTGGATGATAGGATTACAGGTGATTTAAAAGAAACTAAAGGGGAACACACTAGGGTTCTTGGCATAGAACATTGATTAGTATACTTTAGAACTAGATTCTTAATAACAATACAACTTTGTGATTATTGTCAGTAAAATCTGACTTTGCTAAAGTTAGGGAGAGAAAATTGTGAACACAAAAAGTAAGACGAGCACCTCATGTATTCAGATGGGTTTCTGGATAAGAGATGAGGTGAGGTCCTGGGAGGTGTATATTGTTTGTTACTGGCCAGTAGCCAGCTCAGGGCCTTCCCCCTATGACTGAGGAGATAATTAAAGGGAGTCTGCTCTTCAGGAGTGGGTAATTTAGTCAGTTTTCTGCCACTATAACAAAATACCTCGCTCAGGCTACCTGTTTAAAGAGAGGTTTATTTTGGTTCATGAGTGTGGAGGTTCATGTCCCATATTGGGTGGCCTCATTGTGTTGGGCTTCTGGAGAGGGCAGAAACATGTCTTAGAACAAGCAGCCACATCTCAAGCCAGGGAGCAAAGAGAGGGAACAGACACACTGGGGTCCCACTGTACCCTTCAAGGGTACTACACCAGTGACTTAAGGACACATCACCTCCTAAGCTTCCACTGCCTTCTATAATGCCACACTGGAAACCAAGCCTTTAACACATGGGCCTTTGGGGAAAATTCAACATTCAAACTGTAGCATGGGTCTCTGCTTCTATAAGGAGTGGCCAGATACTTTTAAATAATGATTAAGGTCATGCAATAAAAGAGACTGATGAGACACTGCCATTTATAGAGGGCAGTAAGAAAAAGTTTGTTTATTCTGTGGTGATCTGTGTTACTTTTTAAGGTTTTTTGTTGTTGAAATTGGGGTTTAAACTCAGTGGCCTCACAATTATGAGACAGGCACTTTTTTTTTCTGACACAGTCCTTCGTATTTGCTCCAGGTGCCTTTGGACCACAGTCCAGCTGGTTTGCTAGCTGGAATTATAGGTGTGATCTACCATGCCCTGTTTATTCATTGAGATGGGGGTCTCACTAACTTTTTGCCTAAGCAGACCTTGAACTGTGGAGATCTTCCGGATCTCCATCTCCTGCATATCTGGGATTACAGACATGTGCTATCACACCCATGTCCTCCCCACCACTTTTTTTTCCCTCCCCCGGTATTGGGGATTGAACCCAGAGCAAGCACTCTACCACTTGTCCCTTGCCCTTTGTATATATGGGGAGGGTACTTGTTTTGTGATAGTGTCTCACTAACTTGTCCAGGCTGTCCTCTTTAACTTGCAGACTACCTGCCTCTCCCTCCTGAGTAGCTGGGATTATAGGCGTTGTACCACCACACCCAGCTAAGGTTTTTCTTTTTATGCTTTCAAAAAACAAACACAACAACCAAAAAAAAAACTAGTTTCGTACTTTGGGAAAGAGTAAATGCATGTATATTTAGAGTTTTGGGGGTAAGTTGTAGTTACTTTCTCTCTTGAGTAGAGTCACATTTACTTGTGTAAACAAGGGAGTAAATTTTTTTTTTCTTCTAGGGATATAACTGGTGCCATGACCGGAATGTAGTAACAATTTTCAGTGCTCCAAACTATTGTTATCGTTGTGGTAACCAAGCTGCAATCATGGAACTTGATGACACTCTAAAATATTCTTTGTAAGTATTTACATTTGAGCATTTGGTTCCTACTACTGAGTATATATACTACCTTGCTAATGAGAGGTTACATGTTCGTGAGGTCATGCTAAATCAGATTCCAACTTGATTTTAAAATTTTCTGATACATATTGATAGAAACTAACATCCTACATAGAACTTAGTGTGAATTATTAGATTTTCAAGTTTTGTTTTGTTTTTTGCAGTAGGGGGCTTACACTTGCAGTAGGGAGCTTACACTTGGAGCCACTAGACCACTTTTTTTGTTACGGGTCTTTTTGAGATACAGTTTTGCAAACTGTTTGCCTAGGCTGGCTTCGAACTGTGATCCTCCTGATCTCTGCCTGCTGAGTAGCTAGGGTTACAGGCGTGAGCCACTGGCACCCTGCTGATTTTCAACTTTTAAAACATGCTTTTATTGTGGAATTAGTAAAATGTATTTTGAGGATGAGAAATCTGACATTTTGGAGTTTTTTTTGGCGGGGGGGGGGTACTGTGGGTTGAACTCAGGACTTTGGACTTGCAAGGCAGGCCACATCTTCATCTTGGTAATGGGATTTTGAACCCAGAGCCTGGCACTTGCTAACCAAGTATTCTACCACTTAGCCACATCCCCCCAGCTCTTTTTGCTTTATTTTTCAGATAGGGTCTAATGTTTTGCAATCCTTCTACTTACGACTCCCATATAGCTAGTATTACATGTGTGCACCATTGTGCCTGGCCCTAGCTACTTTAAAATTTACTTAGAAGCTGGGCACTGGTGGCTCACACCTGTACTCCTAGCTACTTAGGAGGCAGAGATCAGGAGGATTGCAGTTGGAAGCCAGCTCTGGCAAATAGTTCTTGTGACACTATCTCAGAAATTCCCTACACAGAAAAGGGCCAGCAGAGTGGTTCAACTAGGAGAGCCTATGCCTAGCAAGCATGAGGCCCTCAGTTCAAACCTCATGCTGCCCCTCCCCCACAAAAATTCAATTAGAAGAACCTTTTTGTCAAATGATCTTAGAAGGAACCCCATTATATGAAATATTGGATAGTAAATGTATGGTTCTGCTGGGATAGGGTTCTGCTACATTAAGACAAGCTGAAACTGGAAAGGAAAAAAAATGTGTTAGATTTGAAAGACTTTGGGTCTTAATTTTTATTGTTAATTCGTGGATCTCTTAGATTAGAAACAGTGAATCTTGTCTTGTTTTTCAGCCTGCAGTTTGATCCAGCACCTCGTAGAGGCGAGCCCCACGTTACTCGTCGTACCCCAGACTACTTCCTGTAATGAAATTTTACACTTGTACAGTATTGCCATGAACCATATATTGACCTAATGGAAATGGGAAGAGCAACAGTAACTCCAAAGTGTCAGAAAATAGTTAACATTCAAAAAACTTGTTTTCACACGGACCAAAAGATGTGCCATATAAAAATACAAAGCTTCTTGTCATCAACTGCCGTGACCACTTTAGAATGAACCAGTCAGTCCATTGCATGCTGAAGCGACATTGTTGGTCAAGAAACCAGTTTCTGGCATAGTGCTATTTGTAGTTACTTTTGCTTTCTCTGAGAGACTGCAGATAAGATGTAAACATAACACCTCGTGAATACAATTTAACTTCCATTTAGCTATAGCTTTACTCAGCATGACTGTAGATAAGAATAGCAGCAAACAATCATTGGAGCTTAATAAACATTTTTAAAAATAAGTACCAAGGCCCCTACCCCCCCAACTTGTGAGTTTTGAAATTGTTTTGTTTATTTTCAGGGATACTGTTTAATTTAAATGTCTGATTTGTCTGCACTCAGTTTATTCCCTTTTCAAATCTCAGCCCCATGTTGTTCTTTGTTATTGTCAGAACCTGGTGAGTTGTTTTGAACAGCTGTTTTCCCCCTCCTGTAAGACAATGTTACTGCACAAGAGCACTGCAGTGTTTTTCATAATAAACTTGTGAACTAAGAACTGAGAAAGTCAAATTTTAATTATATCAGTGGGCAAGACTGGTGCTGTTTATTTAAAAAGATAAATCAATTGATAAATTTTAGAATTTGTAGAATCCTAGGTAATGAAAAAATAAAGATCAAAGTCACTACATAACCTGTGGCGCAACTCTTTGACCTTCTTCAGAAGAACTTCAAGATTTATTTGTATTGTGTGTAATACAGTTTGTCAGATTGCTGGTGTGATCTTGTCTGTAAGAAAAGAATTCTTGGTGCTGCAGTAAGATGTAATTGTTAAATATAACTTGAGAGTTAAGTTTTTAGGGTTTTGTTTAAAATGGCATGTTTTCAGGTAGAGCTTGACAAACTAAATGATGTAAGTAGTGCAGTTTCTGGTTACAAATATTACTGCTATGTATATTCCATGAACTCTTTAAAATGATTGGCATATTGGTAAGTTCTTGACAAATATTTGTACATTATTTGAGACATGAGATCTTAGCATTAAGTTTATCTTAGATAAAGCTTTTAAAGCATTAGCCTGTGTTAAGTTCTTTAAATGGTAATTAGTGAAACCAAATAGAAAAATATTGTTGGATCATGATTTAGTGTTTTGTCTCAAAGACAAAAGTGGCACTGATGCCAGTGCTCAACATTTAATGAATCCCTCCCTTTATCCTTTGAATAGAATTAAAAGTTAAAGACAGTTCTAATGTGGGAACTAATATTTGATATTTTAAGCTATCTAGGTAAACTTCAGGATGCTTAATCATTACTTTTGTGAGTGTAGTAAATAAATGTTTACTTGCTTTGCACTGTGTTAAATTTGAAATCAACAGAGAAGTTACAACATTTCCTTAAGTTTGAAGAAAGTACACATATACACAATTTGCATGTGTGTGTACACATAGTTGGAGTAAATTTTCTTTAATGTCCACTTTTTCTCTCCTCTGATCTCATTGATCCTGGTGGCTTTATGGAGTTAAATTGTCCAAATCAAAAAATCCTTTATGAGCCTTTCCCCCTCATTTCTGTTCCTCTGTTTGTTGCTTTATTTCCTTTCTTCCTGACTGAACAAATACTGTATTTATGTACAGTAGTTTTATTTCAATACCCAAGTGACCTGTGATAACAGAAATAACTCTAGAGGAATTCATATCTTGTCATTGACTTGATGCTGTCATCCAGGTACAAATTCTCTAAACTGTGTGTTTAGCAGAATGAGACTTGTGGTAAGAATTGTGTGGTCTTTGAATAATTGCCTTTCAAACTGGAAAGTGTGAGAAATGTGTTGGTTAGTGTAATGATTTCTAAAATTTTGTAATTATGGTTGGATGGGAATTACTATGTTGGGTGATAATTTTTTAATTAGTGACAGGTTAGAATAAGGTTTTTATCTTTGGATTATTTTAGTGGGACTGGGGTTTGAATTCAGGGCTTAGCACTTGCAAAGGAGGTACTATCACTTGAGTCACACCTCCAATCCAAAATAACCTTTTAAAAGCTGATTGTTTGGGCTGGGGAAGTAGCTCAGTTGCCTATCATGTACAAGGTCCTGGGCTTAGTCTCCAGCACCATTAAAAAAAATTAATAAAAGTTCATTCTAAGAAAAAAGATTAGTCAAGAATGAGTGTTCTGCAGCCTGTAATCTTAGTTTCTTGGGAGGTTGAGATCAGGAGGATCACAGTTCAAGGCCAGTCGGGGCAAATAATTCACGAGACGCTGTCTCCGAAATAACCAGAACAAAAGTGTTCTGGGCTGGTGGTGTAGCTTAACAGTAAAACATTTGCCTATAAAGCAAAGGATGAGTGTTCTGAGTACTTTACACTGAGGTCTTGGATAAATTTGCTTTGGAACAGAATGAATTTCTAAAATGATGTGCTTATTACTTTGGGTTGACTATTTTAAGCAAACTTTTTATATTGTGTAATTATTTTAATTTTTAATTTTTTTTAGCTGATGACACACAAATACATGGGTTTGAACTCAGGCTTCATACCTCCAATTCTTTTTGTTCTGGTAACTTTTGAGATAAGGGCTCAGTTTTTTTGCCCAGGCCAGTCTCTATCACCAACCTCCTATCTATTTTATGCCCAGCTATTGGGCAAGATTGGGTTTCACAAACTGTTGGCGCAAGCTGTCCTTGAACCATGATCTTTCTGATTTCAGCTTCATAAGTAGCTAGAATTACTAGTGTGAGCCACTGGCACTCAGCTTACCTATATTTAAGGACATAAAAAATGCACATATTATTGGCATGTCATGTAATGTTTAAACATACAGGTTAAACGTAGCTCATCAAGCATTTATTATTTCTCTATGGTGAATACTTTCAAAATCCTAGCTTTTTGAAATGTAGTACATTATTACCTGTAGCCACCCTATTGTACAGCAGCACAACGGAACTTTTTCCATTTATGTTATTGATTATCCTTTCCTTATTCCTCCTAACCCCTACATAAATGTTTTTCCTTTTCTTGGCTGCATGTTATATATTTATTTAACCAGTATTTATTGGTTGTAGTAGGTGTGTTTTCATAGGAAGTATTCAGTTGATGACTTAGAAAAAAAGTTATTTCTCTGGTTTTCAGTCTTGACATCTACATTCATCTTGATTTAAATTATTGGGAGAAGGCCCCAGGTATAGATATTTTCAAGTTTCCCTTGTGATTTAATTTATATCTAGGGTTAAGAACCATTTCTTGTTTGGGTTATGTGTTTTTGGGTGGTGGGTCATAAGTTTTAATAAATAAAATGTATTAATAAGAGTCTTAACTTTGTTTTAGTACTGACTTACCTGTTGTGTGTAAGTATTTTCTTACTTTCTACCATAAATGTGTTCCTAAGGATGAGCCTGAAGTTTAGTAATTAGCTGGTTTATTTTGAGGTAGGTTCCCATGAGCTAAAGCTGTTTTTCTTTAAAGTCTTAATCAGTTCTCACACATTCTTTGACTGTTTCTAGCCTTTACAAACTTTAAGCTTCACTTTATTCCTTCATAATTGTATCTGTAGTGTAATAAATAACCTTTATCAAAGTGATAAGTATTTGGGCATATCTGATGATCTCCATACCTGTTTCAATTAAGATTTGTCTTAGGACTGTTAGGTACATTTTCTTTCTGCTTTCTAAAAGCATTTTATTAGCAAACTACACAAAATGTGTTTTGTTGTGACATTTTCTATACATGTATGTAATGCACTTTGATTATAATTGGCAGCTTCCTTGCCCTCTTCTACCCTTGATCTCCTCCTTCCCTGTTTTCCCTCTCATTTTTTCCCCCTGGATACCACATATGAGAGAAAATGTGATACTTGCCTTTCTGAGTTTAGTTTATTTTTGCTTAACATGGTGATCTCCATTTTCCTGCAAACAATATGATTTTGTTCTTTATGACTAAATAATACTCCACTGTATATATATATATGCACCATGTGTTCTTTATCCATTCATCCGTTAATGAACACCTGAGCTGATTTCACAGCTTGGCTATTGTGAATAGCTCTTTATCTTTACTGTATGCTGACTTAACGATTCCTTCTAGTATATACCCAGCAATGGTAGAGCTGGATCATATGGTAATTTTAATTTTATGAAAAATACCCATACTGTTTTCTATAGTGGCTGGACTAATTCACATTCACACCAGCAGTGTACAAGGGCCCTTTCCCCCTTGCCAGCATTTGTTTTCTTGATAATGACTATTCTGATGGGGATGAGATAGAATCTTACTGTACCTTTTAATTTGCATTTCCCTGATGGCTAAAGATGGGGGTTTTTTATACATTTATTGGCCACTAGTACTTCATTTGAAAAATGTTCAATTCATTTGCATGCTTATTGGTTAGATTATTTGCTCTATTTTTATATACTCTGGATATTAATCCCCTGTTGGATGAATAGCTGCCAAAGGTTTTCTCCAGTTCTGAGGACTGTCTCATCACACTGTTACATGTTCCTTTGCTGTGCAGAAGTTTTGTAATTTGATGCTTGCTATTTCCTGAGCTCTTGGAGTCCTATTCTGAAAGTCATTGCCTATGGCTTATTTCTTGAAGTGTTTCCCTTATATTTTCTTCCAGTAGTTTCCAAGGTTCAGACCTTATATTAAAGTCTGATTCATTTTGACTTGATTTTAGTACAGAATGAGACAGGGCTCAAGTTTTAGTCTTCCACATGTGGATATCCAGTTTTCCCAGCACCATTTGTTACAGAGCTTTCTTTTCTATAGCATATGTTATTGGCACATTTGTTAAAGATTTAGATAGTTGTAACTGTGTGAGTTTATGTCTGGGTCCTCTGTTCTCTTCCATTGCTCTACTGTCTTGTTTTTGTGCCAAGAACCGTGGTACATTTGTTACTATGGTTCTGTAGTATAATTTGAAATGGGGTGTTGTAATACCTTCAGCATTGCCCTTTGGCTTAGTATTGCTCTCAATATTGGGGGCTTTGGTGCTTCCGTATGAATTTTAGGAATTTTTTTCTAGTTCTGTGAAGAATGCCACTGGTATTTTTTTTTCATTTTTCTTTTATTATTCATATGTGCATACAAGGCTTGGGTCATTTCTCCCCCCTGCCCCCACCCCCTCCCTTACCACCCACTCCCCCCCTCCCTCAATACCCAGCAGAAACTATTTTGCCCTTATTTCTAATTTTGTTGTAGAGAGAGTATAAGCAATAATAGGAAGGAACAAGGGTTTTTGCTGGTTGAGATAAGGATAGCTATACAGGGCATTGACTCACATTGATTTCCTGTGCATGGGTGTTACCTTCTAGGTTAATTCTTTTTGATCTAACCTTTTCTCTAGTACCTGTTCCCCTTTTCCTATTGGCCTCAGTTGCTTTAAGGTATCTGCTTTAGTTTCTCTGCGTTAAGGGCAACAAATGCTAGCTAGTTTTTTAGGTTGAAGGTGATTTGCATTGTCTGTAGGTCACTGGGTAATTGGCCATTTTAACAGTATGCTGATCCATGAATATCCGTCTTCTAGTGTCTTCAGTTTGTTTCTTCAGTGTTACAGTTCTCGTTG